TATTGTGTGTGTGTGTGTGTGTGTGTGTGTGTGTGTGTGTGTGTGGTATGGAATGTCTTTTGAAGTAGTCAAAGGTTGGGTTTGAGTTTGCTTTAGCATGTCTTCTATGCTAATAAAATCAATAATGCTTGTTAATTTGTTAAGTTATGTAGATTATGTGAGAATGTTTAGCGATACTTTTTAAAACACCCTGTTTTCAAGTTCCTTAACCACTCGTACAATATTTATAAGCAACTGAAATGCCTCTTTCTTATTATCAGTTGAGAAGTTAACTATTCATAAAGCAATATGCCTCTGGACCCTCACCCCCATTCTGTGGTGTGTATTGACTTGAGAGCTATTAATGCCCTTTCTCTATTAATACAAATTAGAGAGGTTTTGCAGTGAACACAGTTAAATTTATAGAAAGATGTCATTCCTTTCTTTGGTTTCATGACAAAAATACTTGATCGTCCCCCTAAGTCTCAGCATTTTTCCTCGCAGTAGAAAGGCAAAGAGAAATCTTGCAAATAAAGAAGATAAGGAAAATAGGGAAGTGTGATCTGGGTGAGTGTGGCAAGAGAACTGGTCTGTAAAAGAAAGCGGATGGGGGTGGATGCTGTTATTGTCCTGTGGGTTTAAACCAGTAATTACGTTTGGCCTGTGAACAGAAAAATACATTTTCCATATAACCTCAATACATTCTCTCTATAATAATTACTGCCAAGACCTAAAATTTCAAGACATGGCATGATGCGTTTCTAAAATACAGAATTCTCACTTTAAATTTTTCCAGTGAAATGTTGTGATTGAAAACATTCCATATCAGTCTTTTATTCTTCTCCAGAATTTTTAAAAAGCTGTTCTGATTACCCATTCCTAAGTCTGAAGAATTTTTAATTGGACACACTTTAGAAAGATGGTGATGAAAGTACCATGAAAACCCTGTTTATCTCATCATTTTACTGTGGGGTACAAGAATGATATAATTCCTAGCAAGCCATCATTCTCCCACACCACTAGTTTGTCAGATGAGCAAGTAATAGCTTGTATCAGACTCAAGAGGTTGAACAAACCAAACAGGAAGCCCTGTTATGCCATGTTTCTTAGCTCTTGTGAATCTTGAGACCCTACTGGGAATTTTTCACCATTTTTATAGGGTCCCACCAGATGCTCCACTCCCTCCTTGCAGTTCCTCATATTGGCCAGGATGGGAAGGAGGGCCTCCCCATTGCACAGCTGCTGGGGAACAATCCACGGAGAGTGAATAGAGTTCTGTCTACCAGCAATGCCAGGAGAAAGTGGCTGCTGAAGCACTGCTGCTCATTAAGGACTTGGCACCTGAGGGCAGCCACTAAGCCTGTACTATTGTAGTTACTGTATCATCTAGGTAGAACAAATGATACTCCTTTAGGTGCATGTGGACGTGGAGATGTTTACAATTATGTTCATGCAACACACACACACACACACACACACACACACTCTCACACTCTCACACACTCACACTCACAACTGTTGTAATGGAAAAGCGAAGTGTGGCTCTGGCCAACTGGGGACATGAGTTCCCAAGCCCAGTGGCCATTAATTCCATGATAATTGAGTAAGGTGATAGGCAGTGATGAGATCCAAAATGTATACTCACTGATGCTTTGAATAGTGCAAGCCTGCTCCTTAAGAAAATCCAAAGATTTTCCCATGTAATTAGCAAACATCTTAATTATACAGGTGGATTTGAAGCTTGTGCTATTGTTAAAAAAATGCAACTTAGATAAAGAAAAAAAGGATTAGAAGAGAGAGTATGTGGCACAGAGTTTAAGCCCAGGGGCTCTGAGCCACAGCTGGATTCGGAACCAAGCCCTGGTGCTTACTTAGCTCTGCAGCCTTGAAGGATGTCATCTCTCTGCGCTTGTTTCTTCACCTGTGAAATGGAAACACCATGTCGAATCACACAAACAAGGTGAACAGTGGAATGTGTAAAATCTTGTGTTCGGCATATAAGTGCTCAATAAATTTAGCTTATTGTTATTTCAGTTATGGCATTTGAAGAGTAATGATTCTACAATGGATCATTACACAGTAGAAATTTTGCAAAGAAATAATAATTGACGCTTCAGAAAGTTTGTCTTAAAAATCTCAGAAACTTGCCTATGTTTCTTCCCTACATGGAAGTAATACTTCGTACACGCAGTAGTTTATTAAATTTTGAAAATGAAATAAATGTAGTTAGCAAACATCAAGCACCCGTAAGCGTCATGAAAAGTGAAGTTATAGGAATACTGAAGACATTATCAACTTTCAAGAACTTTGACTTTAGAATACAGCCTGTGTTCGAAGAACAGTATGAAATGTTCAAGCATCGTAGAAGAGCTACCTTGAGCAGTATCAGTGTATGTAACCTTACTCCCGTGCTTTAGAAAAGATACTGGATGAATATACTTGGCTGAAGAATCTGCACATCAAGAATATTTATTACCTTGAACTATTTAAGTAAATGCAGATGAATACTCAATTCCAAGTGCCCCACATATATTCATAAAATCACAGCCTGTAGCTAAATGTAACACCAATGCTACACATAAGGTTGATAATCTGTTCAGTAGGTCAAGCTACAGGCCACAGCCTTGTGTGTAAACGCCACAGGAAAGAGTGAGCATTCTTCTTCATGATACCTCATAGAACTGACCTTGAAGCAGCCATGAGAATAAACACAGCATTATGGACCTAAGGCCTTAAACAAATGTGAATTATATAATTAATTTGCAAGCAAATATCGCTTTTAATAAAATTTGAAAATGTCACCCTTGGCTATTGCGAGTCAATCAAATTGTGGTTATCTTCAGATGTAGTCTTAATGAAGGTGAGGTCATTTTAATGAACTGGAACATTTTTAATATGTGCAAAACTATGGGAAAGGATGGAAGTAACACTGAAATATTCTTTCAGATGTTGGTAATGATTTTAAACATGGTTGTATTGTTCTTATCCATTCAGCCCTCTGTGAGATAAGACAAGAAAGCACCACCATCCCCACTGTTCAGATGAATCCGTGGGGGACATAGAGAAAAGCGTATGTGACACAGAGGCAGTTCCAAGTATCTAATTCCCACATGACCAATGTAAGACATTAAGGATTTTCAAAAGCCCTTAGAGAATCATCAGTTAACCAGCATTTTGGATTATCTAGGTTTTTAGTTCTTCTCCTTCTCTGGTTTGCCTAGTTTTTGAGGCACTTTGCTGATTACTTTTTCTTTCATTCATTCATTCATTCATTCATTCATTCATTCACCAGAAGCATCTGGGTGACTTGTCTGCTCAGTACTACTGGTTAGTACTTTGTCAGTAGAGTCCCATTAGCATTTAAGAATAGGACACATCTGCTTTTCATTCAAACAATTCTAAAAATTTGATTTTTTTTTCCTCAACTCTTAAAGCAGACAGTCTTTGAGAAATGAAATGATTTCAAATGATGGAAATTTTAAAGTTGTTTTGCTAATTTTAAACTCCTTAAAGATAGGGATTATATCTTCTTCACCTTTTAAGCCCAATTCCAATATTTAATGCATGTTTGGCAGATATCTCCTGTTGGATAGTGGCTTTCTTTTATCTGAATTGGTGTTTTTGTGATGAATGTGGTAAATATTAATAGCTTTAATTGTAAACGTGAATGGTTAGTTTTAAAAACCAAGTTAATGGGCGTGGCATAGCCCTACTCCATGTTAAATTTGTATCTTGTCAGTTCCTCACATATGTTAGAACTAAGTTAAAGTTGTCAGATTCTTCAAGAATTTTCAAATCAATTCTTCAATAAAATGGAAAACCTTACAATTGCTAAGTAAGCTATTGCCACGACTCTAAGTTTAGTTTAGTACTTCTGGGCTTCGTCTTCTTTTTATCCATTCATTCATCTTCCCAATTATCTATGCGCCTGCTCATCCATCCATTCACCTGCCATTCACCCCAGTCCTCGCATCTGCCTTGCAATACGCCCTTCTACCTCCTCATTCTGTCATTTTTCGTTATCTATTTTAAGAGTCCTTGAGAGAAACGTGAAAGGCAGCTGCTATTAAACTTAATACTGATTCTTTGGGTTTAACTAAGATGAACACATTGTTTATTGACAAAACTCTGGCACTCTTAGGAGAAAACAGAGCACTGTTGGTCATCATGGTGGGAAAAGAATAAACCAGGACTGTTCTGAGTAAATCAGACCATACGGTCACTTGTACATTTTATGTTCTGAAAATCTAAAGTGACATTCCTTGTAGTATTATGATATATATTTTTTAGTTCTAGGCGATACAATGTGTGGCTTATTTATATTGAAAACATAGAGTTGGACAGATTTTTTAAAAAGATTGTGTGGTAATCAGTGTAACTTATACCTTTTTTTCTTTTTTGTAACAGTAATTCCTGCACATTTACTAGTTAGTGGTCCCATTTGGAATCATCCAGATGTTTAATTTCTTCCCTTTGGTCGCCTTGCTTTGGGCTGGTTGCTCTCCCATTCATTCAGTTGACATCTAGAAATCACTTTCTCTAGGTGGCTCATTCACCAAGGTGCCACAGGGTTTCTAGAAGAGGAGGAACACCCAACTGCTGGATAATAGATGGGAATTACTGGTTTATGTAAGATTTAGTTGAGGCATCTGTAACTTATTAGCATATGAAATGGTCTGTCCTTCCTCTGAACTCTTATCTCTGTTTTGCCTATACTTGCTGTGTGATCTTGGGCGTATTTCATAACGTAAACCCCTTCTGGTCTCAGTTTTCTCATGATAAAATGAGAGTCAGAACAGTCCCTACTCATAAAGTTGTTAAATTGGTTAATATAAAGCATTTAGGGCAGTGCCTGGTATTAGAAAAATACTGAAAAGGTACTGTTCCCATTAGTACAAGTCACCTCTAGAGGAAAAGTATGCTTTAACCCATAGAAGTCAGCGTCTGATTGTAATTCCCCTCATGCAGTGCATCCCTAACATATGTTTAACTTGCCCTCTTCGGTTGCAACTGTTTTACAGCTCGAAAGTCAAAGAAGCTGGGGAAGTTAAAAGGCATTCACGAGGAACAGTCTCAGCAGCAACAGCCCCCACCGCCACCCCCGCCCCCACAGAGCCCTGAGGAAGGCACCACCTACATCGCGCCCACAAAGGAGCCCTCCGTCAACACAGCGCTGGTTCCTCAGCTCACGACCATTTCACGAGCGCTCGCACCTTCCCCCTCGATGGTCCTTGAAAACATCGAACCCGAGGATGTGTATGCAGGCTATGACAACTCAAAACCAGACACCGCCGAAAACCTGCTCTCCACTCTAAACCGCTTAGCAGGCAAACAGATGATTCAAGTCGTGAAGTGGGCAAAGATAATTCCAGGTAGGATTGCCTCTCCTTTCACGGTCTGCATCCTTAACTAGACAGGTCAGGGCAACAACACGTTGCACCATTTCCGGCAGGGCGATCGGAATTAGCTTTCTCTTCAATCCTGATACCAAATTTTTAAATTGATATCAGATTGATCGACTGTGTAGGAAAAATCTGGTTGATGTGCTCATTTCTCCTGAGAAGCTGGAGTTAAGGGTTCTATTGTTAATACAGCCTACGTTTGTTATGTTGACAATTGACATGGAAAATTTCATACCAGAAATATGAATAAGGTATAAAATATGTTCTGATCATGAAAGCACAAACTGAGCCTGTTGCTAGCAGCTCATAACCAGGGATATCCTAACCACAGGCCAAGTAAACCAAGAGCTGTCTAATCTCGTCAGCTGCATGGGACCCTGAAAGTCTGTTCTTCCTAAAAAATACCATCTTCCTTCTAGCACCCTTTAAATTGTCCTTGAAATTTCTAGCTTAGGCATTCTTTATGCCATAGGATTTTATCAATTAGGCCCCTATTAATCTACAGAAACATCGTTTAGAATCACTAGCACATCATCCCAGTTCAGTAATCTAGAGCAGTTTCTTAGATAACCTTTGGCCAACCCGCAGCCATAAGAAAAACGGGGAAAGCTCTGATGACTGATTCTTTGAAGAGGAGCTTCCCTGGGTGAAACGGGAGAATAGCATTATGAAACCTGGATCATAGGGGATAGATGAGTAAAGAAAGAAAAGAAGGGCTGAGACCCAGAAAAGAAGACTGTAGTAAAGGGAAGGACAGGTACCAAGGGTGCTTATTGTAGCTCAGAACTTTGCTGAAGTCCGGTGTTGTCCCAGACTGTGGGATGTGAGGAACAGTACCTCATCAACCACTGCACACTCATGAAAAGTAAAACCCACCACCATTATTGCAGATATGCAGGAGCTGATGGCTATTAAATCATCCTTCATTTCAATGTTATTAGTCCTCAGTATTCTGAAGAAGTTTTGCAGGCTAATGCAAATTCTTTCAGCCTAACCAAGGGTTTTAGACCATCACCCACAGTGGAACTCCCTGAACTCCTCGGTTTTATTTGCCCTGACAGCTCACCCTCATTGAGAACATAGGCTGAGTTTAAATGAAAGGTTGAATGGGGCCAGGCCCGTGGTGGACGCTCTGTACATGACCACGGAAGTTGGTTTGAGTCTGTTAGAGAAAGGAGGCTGTTTGAGGGTTGACTTAGGAAGCTTCTTTCTGGAATGTAATTAAATGCTAAGGGTATTTCTGTGATTCATTGTTCTGTTCTTCAGGATTTAAAAACTTGCCTCTTGAGGACCAAATTACCCTAATCCAGTATTCTTGGATGTGTCTATCATCGTTTGCCTTGAGCTGGAGATCCTACAAACATACGAACAGCCAATTTCTCTATTTTGCACCAGACCTAGTCTTCAATGAGTAAGTACCTATTAATTAGCCTTCATAAAATAAATTGCAGTTATTTGTTATGCTTTCTTATGATTTCTAAACAGATGTACATTGTGAAAGAATCCACTGATACTAGCATTTTTAAGAGTTAATAAAATATCGTATGAGAATTTTAAAATTACGTTTTACCAAATTATCATGCACATGCCTGTGTATATATAAATCAATATATATAGATCTCACATAATAGTATGTGGGAATTGTCCCAAAAGGAAGAAGATGATCCAATTGGCTGCAAAAACTTGACTGGTACAAAGCCACGATTAATAGAAAACAGTCTCTTTTGGTATCTACTTCAGTGGAGGAGACTATCTAATTTCTAGGAAATGTGAATGTATAAAGTGCCAGTTTTTGCGTGCATTCATATAATGGTTCTTTTGTTAACGGTATACAGCTGCTCAGTGTGTTTTCATGAAAATCGTAATTACTCTTCTTGGCAATCATAAAAGAAGCCAAAATGTTATTCTATAGTGAAGCATTTTTAGTTTCGTGATGCGTTTTCAAAGATTGAAAGATTCACAGTAGATGTTTCTTTGGCCATGAACTCCTTCCTATGTTAAGTTTACCTTTTAATATTGTTTGCATTCCACATTAGCACATTCCTTTTGTTTATATCCAGCGGTGCTTCTTTGTAATTGTTGGGTCAAGAAATACATAAACTAGAAAGGAACATTTGAATTATGAAGTAACCACAGCCATATCCTAACAGATGGCTCTCTCTGGAGATATGAAAATAGGGGTTTTCAGTAGGGAAGGAAGCAGATGAGAAATAGATTGATGGCAAAAGAAACAAAAGCAATGGGAAAGATTTAAAACGGACACATAGTGCCAAGATACTGAAATAGTACCAGTGCTAATTTACCTAAGAGTACTAGTGTACCCAAATACAGTATACCACAAAGACAACTTTATTCCAAGATAAACTGGGAACAGCAGTTGTTGGTTCTCAAGGTGACCCTTCTTTTGGCAATTAGAAAGAATAATTCTACTATTGCATAAATTTTCACCAAAAGCATGAAGCGAGGCCAAACAACTGACGTGCACATTTCAATTTACTTGTTTTCCTCAGCAATCAGTTGATTTTATTAAATAGTAAGCCTGTTTTGAAATATGGTCTATAAACCGAAAGAGAAACACAGTAAGGAGGGTGTTTGTTTTAAAAGGAAGTGCGAGCAACAGAAAGCTCTGTTAGTACCATCCAGTGTGTCTCCGTTTGGTTTGGTTTTAATAGAAGATGAAAATGATCCATTTAATCTCAGCACATGTATGCTTGTCATGAAATATATATAACACGAAATTGTCCATGTTAGTCATTTTTAAGTGTGCAATTCAGTGGCATTAAGTACATTCACATTGTTGTACAACCATCACCACTCTCCACCCCCAGTACTTTTTCAGCATCCCAAATAGAAACTCTGAACCCATGGAGCAACAATTCCACACTCTGGCCTGCCCCAAAGCCCTGATTACCTCTAGTCCATGAATTTGCCTACTCTAGACTTTCATAGAAGTCGAATCATACAATAGGTGTCTTTTTGTGTCTGGTTTATTTCACTTAGGATAATGTTTTCAGAGGTTCACCCTTATTGCAGCATGTGTCAGAATTTCACTTTATGGATGGATACCATTCTACTGTACGTCTATACAGTGGGTCCTCGTTGTTTGCAGATTCTGTATTTGTGATTGGCCTTCTGGACACATTTCCTTGTAACCCCAAAGTCAATGCTTGCAGCACTTTCGGGTTGTTTGCAGACATGCACAAGCTGTGATAAATTGAAGTGGCCCCCTGAGTGTACATTTCAGCTTAGACTCTTCCTTCTTGTTTCAGCTCTCGTGTTGCAAACAGGTGTCCTTTTCCTGGTCTATTTCGTGCCTCATTTTTGCATCGTGTGTGCTTTTTGTTGGTGATTTCACTCTTTAAAATGATCCCCAACTCTAGTTCTGAAGTGCTGTGTAGTGTTCCTAGGGGCAAGAAGGCTGCGATGTACCTTACGGAAGCATACAGGTGTTAGATAAGCTTCTTCCAGGTATGAGTTACAGTGCTGTTGCTTGTGAGTCCAATGTTAATGCCTCAACAGTATGTATTAATTAGGTGTCTTTGAACAGAAATACACAGAAAAAATTATGTATCGATCAGTTGATGAAAATGTTATGATTAGTGGCTCTGGAGAGCCTAAACTAATTCCCCTAGGAGTGTTCACTGCAACTTTACAGAACATAAGTAACTCTTTTTTTTTTTTTAACCAAATAAAGAGAAGTTGGCCACGTTTTGTTAATTTATTTATCTGTCAATGGACATTTGGGTGGTTTTCCCCTTTGGCTATTTTGAATAACGCTGCCATAAACATTTGCGTGTGAGTATCTGTTAGAGTCCCTGCTTTCATTTCTTTGGGGCACATACTTAGGAATGGAATTGCTGAAGCATATGGCAATTCTACGTTTAACCTTCAAGAAACCACCAAATCGGTTCCCACAGCAGTTGTACCGTTTTACATTCTCAGCGATGTTAACAAGAGTTACAAGAGTAGCAAGCATTCCAATTTCCCCATATCCTTGCTAACACTTAATTTTTGTTTGTTTTATTGATGTTGTTGGTTTTGAATAGCTGTACTAGTAGGTGTGAAGTGTTTTGTGGGGGGCTGGACTGAAATATATTTGACATAGAACATCATGTAAATTGAAGGCACATGCCATGTTGATTTGATACATTTAAATATTGTAATATGATTGCCATTGTGATGGTAGTTAGCACCTCTATCATATCACATAATTGTCATTTCTTTTTTTGTGGTCGGAACAACTAATATCTAGTCTCTTAGCAAGCTTAATGATTATGATACAATATTGCCTGGATTCACTATACTGTGCATGATATCTCCAGGATTTATTTCTCTATTAGCTGCAAGTTTGTACCCTTAAACAACATGTCTCCTATTTCTGCACTCTTGAGCCCCTGGCAACCCCCATTTTACTCTCTGTTTTTACAAGCCTGGCCTTTTTACAAGTAGATTCCACATATAAGTAATATCTTATACTATCTGCTTTCTCTGTCTGACACGTATCTTAGTAGTTCCAAAGTGGTATCTCATTGTGGTTTTGATTTGCATTTTCCTAATGCTGTGAATCTTTCATAGGCTTATTTGCCATTTATATATCTTCTTTGGAGAAATTTCCATGCAAGTCTTTTGCTCATTTTTAGTTGAGTTGCTTGTCTTTTTGTTCTTGAGTTGTAGGAGTTCTTTATATATTCTGGATATTTATTCCCCTATCAGGTACGTGATTTGTATATTTCTCCCATCCTGTTGTCTTTTCACTGTCTTGATAAGTATCCTTTCATGCACATGGAAAATTGAAGTTTTTTATTTTAATGAAGTCCAATTTATCTATTTTTTCTTTTGCTGCCTATGCTTTTGGTGTCATCTATTAATATTTGTGTGCAAACATCCAAGTGTATGGGTTCCATACAAAGTGCAAAATTGTAAGAATCCTTTTTAACAAATGGAACTCAGGGGAAAGCACCTTATATTTGAAGTCTGAGAGAATCAAGTCATATAAGCTTTGTTCTAGAAAATTTTAAGAGAGATAAAAGGGAAACAACAATAAAAATGCTTTCTAATGTTAAAAGTATTTTAAATGTTATGCTATAATATAATTTCTGAATAAAAATTTTGTTTCCTATCCATAAAACTTTTGACCTCAACCCCAATCTACAGTTCTTTAAGTTTTCTCACAACTGGAAAGGATAGAGTAGAACTGCCCTTTCTTTAAGGGAGGGGAAGGCAGTGAGGGTAGAGGCGCTCCCAGAAAATTTGAAAATGACATAAAGCCTTTTGATGAAATCGAGCTTGATGCAGTAGCCCTGTTACGGAGTTCTGTCACAGACCCTGTAATTTTTAGGGAATCTCCTAAGTTACAGAGGATGGCCTACAACTGAAGTCTGAATGCATATTCGTGCTTC